TGCGTAGTAAACAATATTATGAATATTATTGTACCTTGTCACAATAATTCATAAGTAATATATTATAATGTTTCGACGACCTCGGTGGTCTAGCGATTTAGAATACCGCTTTACGTCCAGTGGTCGCGGGTTCGATTCCTCGCACGGCACAAACATTTATATTCATGAAAAATATGATTGTTTGTATCAGTCTGAGTGTTTTCTATGTATCCAATTTTTTTTGTCTGATACAACACAAGCTTGCTTGCTTAAAATCTTTAACTTAATTCTTGATGGCGTTGTGTGAATCGTCCTGAGATTATTATTAATTTTTGTTATATTGTCAATAATATCCGTTTCAGAAAGTTCTATAGAGTTCACATATACCAATTTTTTTATGATAGAGAAATCCCTAATTTTAATTTAAAATCATAAAAGAGAATTGTGGTCAAAGATGACTCAATTTCTGTTATATGTAATTCAGGTAACGCGAACACTATCTGAAATACCGATATTGGTTTCATATTACACGCCAAAGCGATGGATATCGATAAAATGTTAGCTAATAAAGCAACCTATAAAGGATTATATTACAGAATTATTGACTGACATAATATTTATATGTATAAAATAATATATAAAATATAATGAAAGATATACAAATGAATTTGTATTTTTTTTAGTAGATTTTTGGTATTATTTTAAAGTTCTATAATATTTTATACAGGTTAGCACCTTCTGTTCCTTATCCACAGACGAAAGATGAAAGCTTTCTTACAATTTTAATAAAAAAAGACACTCATCACATTTCGCTTTTTCACTTCATATAAAAATATCTAATTAATCAGCACTTAAACTTAGTTATTTTGTTACAAAGTGATATATACAAGCGAATATATGTTTATAGTACAGGGAGAATATTTATAAATAACAAAGTTATTAATGACTACTGAATACTGAGGGTTGTTCCTTTGTTCTGTAGCGTGTAAATCATTGTTTTGTTATTGAACAAAATACACGAAATATGCTAATAGCTCGACAGAAATACTGAAATAATGAATAAATTCAACCTATTTTGGTCCTGCAGCCTATGTGGTTACATTAATTTGTGTGTAAAAGTATAATTACATTCGTAGAAGCATTGTTTTAATATTCATATGGGATTCATTATTCTAAGTATTTGCGGTCCTTTACTTCACCGATTTCGTTTTGTCCTTATATTATTGTGACGACTTGATTTCAGTTCAGTCTGCATTTTGTACTTATTTATCTAACACATTTAAAAGTTTTCAAAGTTTTCTTTCCATACTTTGTAAAGATTATGAACCGTATAACTTGTCAGTCATAAAACTTTTAATTTTCGTTCGTTTCTTATTAAGATTACTTCTTAAAGTAATTAAAAAAGAAACTGTAAACATATTTTCATCGCGAAATATTTTTATATAATTTATAAAGTTTAATTTATAAAATATATATTTGTATATTTAAAACTCTAAATTCTAGTATATTTCTCTTAACAATATCATTTAGTTCTTTAATTCATTTTAATAACTTGTAATATTGTCATCACTACAATTAATTACAATGCTGTAACATAATCCAATCTATGTACCTATGCAAATAGATTTTCGACAACGACGCTAACAATTTTGACAAAATTCACAGGGTAAGGGTTTTATAGGCCGAAAATTCAATTTAATCGGTCCCATATTTGGGAGTTCTCCCAATTTCGTTTAATAGATAAATTACCCTTGCGGTTCCCGGTTAATCAAGTACTTGTTTATAAGGAACAGATACGATTAAACGATCCATAGACTAATATAGTTTTCCTGTTCAAATGGCAGAAATAACGATAATTCACCACAGACTAAAGGTCAGTTCCTCATTGAAGCGAGACATTTAATACTTCTATAAAAGACTAGGTATATTTCGCGACTTTATTTACTCTTCAAGTTCACTTAAGTATTATAGGGACATAGTTTAGTTTCACATCTAATATTACTAATTTCAGCCGTTTTATGAAAATACAACAAACAGATTTCACATTGACTTTATATAAATATCTAATAGTTGCGAGTAATATCTAGAATTCTAGATATTACTCACAACTTTCACTGCTTTTATGAGATAAAATTTATCTTCACGTCAAATCACATTCATAATATTAGTATGGAAGAATAGACGTAAAGTGATTCAGTAAAAATATTAAAGACGTTGTAGGTACCAGAAAATAAATCCAATAGTAAAGATCGGTGAACTGTATGAGTGTCTAAATGATGAAAACACGTAGAGTGCAGTTGCGAAATATACAAAAGACAATGTAACAATAAAGAATTGAAGTAACTTTGTCTCTGTAAATTTAGAAACAAAAGAGATCATTACAAAACACTCGAAATCTATTAATTATAAGGCTAAACGTATCTTACCACTTACTATCAGAGGGCCGGTCAGCTTGTTTGCCACTTAAATTATATGAAAATACTTGTTTCGATCACTTCCAATGACTAATCTACAAAGAATTCAATAGAAAGAAGTGGTGCAAAATCATTTTGCGAATACGCGACTGGAATTCAGATAATCGGTTTCTTACGTCTTATTATTAAACGGTGCAGTTTGTTCTCGTTCTTCCATCCGTTAATTTCTATTCATATCTAATATTCAGGGTTGATGACAGATATTACTTTAAAGGATAATATTATAAAATAATGTTTTCTTTTATTAAAATTGGTAATTGGACTACAATTATAATCAAGTATATTATTGATGTGCATATGAATGCACATATAAATTTGTGGAAATTCCATTTTATTTCTCAACTGGTTGAATTTTAATGTCCAATGGAATGAATGAATCGAATTTAATATTTTGTGAAAGGTGTAAATAAATGTTTCAATAAAAAATACATGTTTTTAAATTTGGAATTGGTTAAATTGATAATTTTAAATTCGGAATGGCTTCAATTCAAATTAAGTTTCGTTTGGAAATACCAGACTTACAAATTATAGACTACTGGAATCAAAACTTTTTATTCATAAGTCTCTTTTACTTACTCGTTTGCTTCAGCTTTAGGATCCGCAATAAAAGTATTTACCATTGCGTTCTTCAATTTATATAACTTGTATCTACAAATTAGTGACAAGGCAACCCTAACAAGAGCACTTTTCCATTAGACTAGTCTTCGATTAGCTCTTTTCAACCGTATCCCGTGGCCCCAGGCGACCTCACTCGGTGTTCCAGACACGTCAAATGTAAGTGAAAAGCTTAAAGTAAAGCCTGAATGGAAAACTGGTGTAAATGTGTTTTGGGACAGGTGAAAGGTTCTATACAATCCATTTCAACAGAAAATAAGGTTCGGGTAGAGAATGGCCTCTGTGTATTAGACATTTCATTGGAAATATCGCTGTGTAATTTTTGGAGTGACTTTTTTATTATAAGCTGATGATTTATTGATTACTAATGTATTTCGGCGAATTTTGTAGTAGACATATTTTGAGATTACTTTTCTATTTGTTGGTAGTATGTTTGCCAAATTTTTTACCTACCTATAATTCCATATTAATCAGTCACTCAATTAGACATCCGAACAAATAGTTAAACATTTGAATTAATGCTGTATATCAATACTGCAATCAATCTAAAACATATTTTGTTAGCGTACTGTTTGAATATGGACCAGTTAATTTTAAATATCAATACATTCAGTAAAATAATATTTATTTTAAAATTATGTTATGCAATTTACTATAAGTTATATCATTGAATTTATATTAGTTATGGAGAATTTTAGAAATTTATATTATGAAGAGTAAATTATTAAAAAAAAAAATTAAATACATAGCTGTCATTCATGCTTAGAGAAACAATGATCTGTTAGTTTGCGGATATATTAAATGAATAAATAAATATAATTTGCGAAACTGAGAAATTTAGAGATATAATCAATTTGTTTGTCTAAAACATTAAAAATTCATATTACCATGATCTCTACACATAAGTGCACTACCATACATTATTGAAAACGCATCTTCATCAGTTAAGCAGTTTCTAATATTAGTGCGCACAAATACACAGATAAATGAATAATAATTTTAACAATCATTGTTTTGAGTTTTTTTATTAGAGTCCCGCATAATACTTTTTCTCATACATCTTTCTAGTACAGACTACTAGATCAATTATATTTTTGTTATATGAATACCTTTATGATTACAACGTCGCAATAGAGCTATTATTATTATGTTGTAATCGTTTCAGCGGATAATGTGGCGTGGCGTGTCGTTCTTTTCTTTTCTTTTACCTTCTTTTTCCCCCCAAGTCCCAATCAAATTATGAGGAAATAAATTAACAATATATACCTACATGATATATTGTATTATTTAACTTCAGATGTGTACACAGATACTACATAGTTTTTTTTCATGTGACCAAGCTGACGATAAACTTAAGAGCATGTGGTAACCGTCACCAAAGTAAATGAATAGCACCCCGAATATGTCTCTTTCTATAATAGAATTATCTCTAAATTACCCCTTCTTCTCATCAAATATGTAGTATATAATATGTATGTTAGTAAGTTTATTTATTTACGTGTGTATATAATAAATTTAGCGTCTAGTGTGCGCCTCCTATATCCTATATCTATGTAAATATTGTCAATACCAAGTTGTCTGTAAGAGATTGATTTCTATTGTACTATACTTCTATTATTCTTTGTTTATCTATACGCAAGAAAGAGTTATTATTTTTATTATAACATCACGTTATCATGTGATGCTCATGGTGGTATCTTCTACGCTTTATTATTCCAGAGGTCTAAGACGATGTTCCTCCCTAACCCTGTAATTTCAATACCTTATCCGACCATTTCACTGAAACAACGTCCTATGCAGTAAGCTGCTTGGTCGATTGGTGAAATTGGTGGGACAGAGAACGTTAACGTTGACTACTCTGTACAAATTCTAGTATATTAAAGATTATTAAAGGTAAATAATAAAAATACATACGAAAAATGGTCTTTTATTGAAATCAATGTCAAGTTTGAAAACAAACGGTTCTATACTATCGTATTTTATGATTGCTACATTTATCCATTAATTATTGATCGACAACTTTCGAATTGAATTTGAAGTGACTAATATTAATATTGGAATTTTAATAATTATATTTACCCTGATTGTAGGATATTCTATGCGGTATTGGCACAGATATGCGTCTATTGCACGTTTGTATCACATCAGTGTAACACTGGCTTTAGAATTTCAAAAACACAACTCGTTGGTACTAACACGTTTTCTTTCTCACAAATCACTTGCACTCGAGTTTCATTTGGGCACTTTATATCTGATATTTATTGTTTATTATTTAATTGTCCATTTCCCATACACCACTCCAATAGAGTTCATTATGTTTATCCTGTAGTTTTACCACAGACTCGTATTTTCTTATCTATATTCCATCACAATGTCTTTTTCATTTTCACACTATAAATTAGTGTATATTATTCCTCACTTTACTCTCAAAGCTGAAGGTCGTAACTGCAAGCCGCCACAGTTCTTGCAGCTTTAAGGCTTTCTTCAAAACTGTATATGTGGATAACTAAATCAGACTTGTAGAACTAGTAAAACGTAGGCCAGTAGTACAAGCGCAGGTAAACTCAATGAACTGGCCCATTGAGCGCTACCTTGCATTGCCGCTGGAGTTTCTCCTGAAAATAAAGGTACAATTTAGTAATTAAGGTTTTGCAGTGAATAAATGTTTCATTCTTCTGACGTCATATAATAATTATCTATATATTTAGAACTCAGCAGACTGACTCAATATGCAATATACAGCCAAACCGCACATTTGGTAATGTAGAAAACTACGAACCTGGGAATCTACCAATATAATGTCATAAATTATTTATTGGTACTTTTGGTGAAATCTTTTGCAAGATACTAACAAATTTTACGAAATTATCATATATGCAAATTAGTAGTGTAATAGCCAAATTTACTAGTACATACTTCATATTATTACTCGAATAAGGATTTATTATCATAGCTGTATTATATGTGTTTATCTCGCTAATTAGGCTGTAGCAGTACAGTCGCATAAGGTTTTATATAAATAAAATAGTAGTATAAAATACATTACACATTTTATCAATTGTTCTTTACAAAATTAAATATTAACCCCAATAAAATTTATAGCCGTTCACACTTAATTAACACTCCAAATAAATAAAGATGTAGTAATTAAAAGTTAACGGGTGAAACGAACCAACTGGCTATTATGCTAATAATGGTATGCCCAAAAATAAACTGGCTTAAAGCAATAAATGTATAAATAAATTCAAACTGTTAGCACTGTAGGATTTTATGAGGTCCAGTCACGAAACATTACTACCTAAATACTGTTTCCTTAGCTTTTCTTGCTAACAAATGACGATTCTAAATGTTCACATTAATTGAAGCTGTAATGTAAGCGTTAATTTCAGAAACAATGCTAGTAGTACTTTGTAGAAGTGCACACATGGCTACCATACAACTAATAACATTTTTTAGAGTAAGACAGCATTAAAGTTATCTACGCGCATTTCGCCATTATCATGTTTTGTAATAGTATTGTTTGAGTTCATTCATTAAAAGAAACAGATATTGAATCTATTTATTCGCAAATAAATATAAAATGCAGAAACTTATTGCATTAACCTTGATTTTTATGTTATAATAAGGTTTGTTTAATATGCGCAAAACAAAATACCTACATGTCATTAATTATTGAATGTCTCGTTAAAGTTATAAAGCATTAACATACTTATGTAATGATGTATTGTATCTGAATATGATTAAACGCGACGTCACTTGTTATACGTTCTTTTTTATTTACATATTATGAAACTGGAAGCGCAAATAAGCTGACGCATCGGATGGTATATGCTAACCGTCACCTACATACATGAACGTATCGATACATGTAACGAATATTATCGTATCACGTTTTTTGTCGGCCGTGGCAGTATTGCCCGTCTACCAAGCTATCATACCTCCATACCCTATAATTATAAATTACCCTTTAACCGAAACATCGCTTATAAAACTTGTGAGGCTTGGCACCTCAAATATATAAGACAGACATATTCATATGACTTTGTTAGTGGATGAATTAATGAAATTTTTATAGACAAACCTGCCTCAGTATCACTGAAACTTATTAAAAAAGATTAAAGAGAATAAATGTTTTTTTAAATGTTTGAGACATATGACATTACATCTCAATGTATTATCTACCGCTTAAATCATGGTAAGTATTCTGAGAAACTGTTCGGCTTAATACCAGCTGCTAAATTTCATCGTCGTACCCTCCACCAGAAACTAAAACCATTCTTATCATCTGGATGAATGGCGATTCTTCATCGTTCGTTTTTCTAGAAACATTTTGCTATGCACAAAATCACCTTTCAGCAGTGATATTAAAACCAATAGGGTATTGAAACTCACATAAGAGAGCTTATTCTTACTTAAGAATGCACTGCCCTTGCAATTCCCCTGGTGTTGCGGGTGCTCACGGGCGGCGCCGCGGCGGTAGTCATTTACCATTTGGTGAGCCGCAAGCGTGTTTATCCTGTACTATTTAAAAAATATGGGAATATAAGCAACTGTTTTACCTGTAAGTACATGGACGCGAGCTGTAGCAGACTGAGCATTATCTGGAACACACTGGTATGCCCCCGCGTCGGACGTACGCGCAGCTTGGACGAGCAGCCTACTACTACTATGTATACCCTTCTCAGTCACCAGCGATATACCGCCACGTGTGGAGTCGAAGTTTATCGTCTGTATAAAAAAAAATATATAAGAAGACATTTATGTAACCTGTCAGGAAAGAATAATTGATGAAATAGAAATAATTTTTATTCAAATAAACTTAATATAAGCACTTTAGAATAGTCAAGTTTTTTTTATTCTACCGCTTATTCGGAATGCATATTCATCACAAGAAGAATAAGCAAGAAACTTATGTGTTGATCTTTTAAATATATATTGATTTACTTATATTTAATTAACAACAAAGATTAGGCATGCGATAATCAACATAGAAACTTAATCTCTGTTCAATTAGATAACACTGTCAGTTTGAAATTTCACCATGAATTTTAAGTTAGATATTTTCTACAAAAACATTATTATCATTTATAAAATCTTCAATTTTATAATAAGCTTTTCTACAAAGAAATTATTTTATGACACATATGATACATAGATGTAATATCTATATTTAATTTCTATCATTGTACTGCACGTCATCGACAGGGCACTCCCAAACTAGAACCTAAATATCTAAAAAGAGCGCAGTTTCAGAGATTTATCGCTTATAAACATTCAGATTGTAGAATAAGTTGTCGACCATAGCTTCTTCAACAGGGATTAAGGCTTTTCAACAAAACTCAAGTATGTCGCTCAGATTTTAAAAACCGACAACACGTACATTGTTGTACCTGTGGTTTGAAGCAATCTGTAGTAATATCAATTTGCGGTGATTGTTAATTTTTATGATTTTCCCTGCATTCGTAAGTTGAAAGCTAGCTTTTAAAACCATTAGACATAAATTCAGTTATGATTGAATTCTTATAAGTGCAGTACCAACTTTTATATAACGTAGTTAATTGTTCTAGGAATATACTTTTATTCTTTTTTATTGAATTGTGAATTGTGAAATTCTATTACTTAAATTTATAACAGAGTTGTACTATGTATAAAATTACACCAACCGATGCGTATCATAATAAGAATTTCCTAAACAACCTGATATTCAAGTAGATAAATATATTTTAGGCATGTTGAGTAATTGAGTTGATTGAAGACTTTAGAGTTCTAACTCACAATATTTGAAATTGTGAAATTTTAATCAGGAGATGTACTAATAAGTCTAACAATATAATTTCATGTCATAAATATACTTTTTTATATCTATAGTAAGATTTTTTATTTATTTTTTTATATATTTATACCAAAGTACTAGACGACAGTGCACAGTCTGTTGGGAGGTGAATGTAATAAACAATATTTTTGAAGTAATAATATCTCTTACGCTACGCGACATGCTACTGAAGATTTATTACAAAGCAAGTATACATTTTGCTTTTATTATGAATTTTCAGAAGTATTATCAAATAAATAATACATATTGTTACATGGAACAAAAAATAATATTAGAATTTATAAAACTTTGAATTTACTGTAGACAAATATTAAATTTTCATCATTATTCATGTAGTTTACAATTAATGAATGATCCACACATGATCATTCAATAAATGTATATTTTATATATATGTAGGTTACTTCGTTGTGATACTTTATGGAGAATATTAAATTATATTGGGACGTTTGGGATTAATGATTTAAAATATGCATATTAATACTACTATCAGATTATAATAAAAATATAATCATACTCATAAGTATTAAAAAACGTACCTATACAATGTATTGTTTGTGATTAGAAATATAAATGAAAGAGAAATTCGAAATGTTTGTTGCATTGAGGAAAGCGTTTGTAATAACACCTTATTTCATGGAATCCAATATTTACTTTCTTCTCTTTTATTCTTATAATAAGGTTATTGTACATAAAAGTAAATGTTTATATATTATTCCACGTAGGGTACACATAGTATCTATCTACTACCCAAATTATAGATCTTTTGATTTCATGCAGAGCTTCGCCATTTCAGATCGAAATATCCAGTTGATTAAAATTATATTGCTGTGGCATACGACTTCATAATCATAGAGATGCAATCGTATGGATATTCTCTTGTGTACACGTGATACGATTTCGATGACTATTGTAGCTAAGTGTGACTACCGCAATTTATAGAATTAGTTTGGTAATAATGGCTTTTATTAACGTCAAGAAACTTTAAAAAGAAAATCCTTTATCTATCTTACAAGCATTTGTTGTAGCACTTTTACTTAGAAATAACATCGTGCGACTAAAGAGAATCATAAAAAGGGGATTAAGGATTTACGGGCAAAATTGTTAACTCTTGACACTTGCGGTGAATTGTCATGGAATGTCAGGTCAGGTAGGTCAATTTGTAAATATCTAAATACTATAAATAATACTTTAATAGATTAAAAGTAATGTATTGTATAATACATGTTTTATGTAACAAGAATGGCTAACAATTAGATGGTACATCTTTAGTGGCAACAATCGTCTACATAAATGAACCACTATCATGAACAAGTGATGATGATGATGATGATGGTACATAGAATTATATAGTACAGCCATTACGAAAACTTTATCTTAATTTCAAGCAATGTTTACAATAATCACATTCATAATTCTTATATATGTTATTTGATTTATACATCTAAATTTACCTATAATCTTTATTCAGTTTGCCACATATTGTTTTTTATTTTTGCTAAGTCACTGAAAACCTGTTATTATAACCTTTCTCTAGAAATATACTGTTTTAATATATTGGATTATAAGCTATTGGTTTTCTAATAAATAAATAAATGTCGATTTGAATCCAAATGGGTATAGATATGCGACCAAATGATTGTCAATTATGGTATTACAATACAGATGGCGCCATGCTGGGAAGGGATGGCAAGCTGAATGGTAGCAAGTGTCCCCTACTGTGAGGCAATATAAATAATGCAATGTGACATGTTTACCTACTTAGTTATATAAGAGATTTATTTGATAGAGACAATAGAAGTTTTGATACATCTTGTATGTAACGAATTAGCATAACTGTAAAATACAATAGATATTTTGTATTCAGTGTTTAAAAATACGCCAAGTGTAACGTTAATTACATCTGTTTTTAATTTTGCAATATTGCAAATATTTTTATAATTAATATTGAATAATATTAAGTCTCTGGTAATTAAGCTTCTGTAATACGAGTAAAAACTAAGTACATACAATAATTATTATATTATGTAAAATTAAAGTGTTGTAGAAGTAAAACGTTCATTATTTATTTCTGTAGACTTAAATTTTATAGTAGTAGGTTTTCATACGGCAAACCTACTACTACTATTCTATTTTATTCCGAGGAATTGGCTGTGATACGTGTGGGTGATATTCTGTAATACAAATTACAAACCAAATAATCATTTGTCGTCTACATTTCTAATCACAGAATTTCCGGGTTTTAGTATCTAAATACATACCATTACTTAATTAAACCAATTGCGCGCAAAGATCCCAGGTTCAGAATCACATATTTGGCTGCATCTCACGAGATAAATTTGCGGAAAGCAATACTACGACTGGGCGGAACAGAATATCTAATGCAAAGCCATTCGCGAAATATTGCTTCGAATTTACAGTCTAATTGCAACTTGGATATTGCAAATACCATGCCAACCCAGAATATTTGTATGTTTAATCAAATAATTATATATATCTCTGAATATTTTTTTATTATATGCTAATATTTCGATTTCGTTATAAGTATTATAAGTAACAATTCATTGAATTATAGATATTTTTTCAATATATACGTTAGTTTATTATTACGTTTATATGTTATCGTATTGCTAATTATCTATTGCTCTTATTTATATCAAAAATTTTGTTTAAAGTTATAGCTACTGCTATCAGTTTAATGTATACTCTTTCAATTATTTTTTAATAATAATTATATACAAGATGTTTAAAAGATGAACATGAAATTCAACAGTAAAAACAAAAAGTTAAATTCGTTTCAAAGTATTGTGTAATAATATTTTTTTATGAAAAATTAATTATAATTGAGACATAATGAAAATTGGTACGTTGGTACATAGTAATTTCTTTGTAGAGCAATTTTAGAGTTGTTTTGTATAGATATATATAAGGTCTTACCTTACTTCTGTGAGTCCAATTAATTGTTATTGGTGGCTCTGGGGTATGTCGTACGATACACGTTAAATTTATCGTAGATCCAGCGTAGATAAATAAATCTGGACCACCTAGAATTTCTGTTTCCGGTTCTGTGGAAAAAAAACTACATCAAATATATGAAAGTATTATATTTTGAATAATTGTGAAATGTCTTTTATTATCTGTAACATTATCGAGCTAAATGAACAGCTATAATATATATAAGAATACATAATATATAAGACATTTTTATAATGAAATTTATGTATCTAGAATGAAAAACAAGCTGATGGTCGAACACTAAGTGGTAACAGTCATATAAAATCATATATGAACAGCACTACGGATGTGATCATATGAAGTCTGTGGTAACTGTACTAAGGCTAATATATGATCTTCTAGAGATTATCTTAGGCTAGTATTAGTGGATTCATAAGTTTATATAAACTGTAAAATTATAAAAAAAAAACACGAGAAGATTTTAAAACACTATTTCAACAGAAAAATAAAAATAATGTCGGTAATCCAAAAAAGATTGCTTTGTTCACACCTGTACTAATTACAGAATTTACACTTTCTACAAAATTCCCCAACATTTACACCCATACGAAGGCTATAAAGACCTTTCTTTATAGCCATTCGGTTTAAATTCTCTATCGTTCGCCCTCATTCAAGCGCTGTAAAGCCGTCTCTTTATAGACATAGGATTGAAATTCGCTATCGTTTGCTTTCATTCGAAGACCATAAACTAGTCTCTTTATGTATAGTTTTAGAAAAATAGCAGTACTTTAGTAACCATGCACAGTTTAGTAGCAATGGATAGTGGAAAAATGAATGCTATCATAATTAGTACATGTGTGAGGAAAGTTATGGGAATAAAACGTGTCCAATATGGAAAGTTTAAAAAGTTAGCCACGCAAATTAGCTTGACTATGCATTTGCAGACGGGAACACAGTATTCAGCATAAAATGCTAATATAAATATATACTTCGTATAAATCGACAATGCCATCGTTTTTTTGCATATATATATATATATATATATATATATATATATATATATATATCTATCGATCTGTATATATATATATATATCTTATTATATACATATTTAAAGAATATATCAATTTCTTATACAGAATCTCGAATAAAAATATTAGAAGTAGAAGTATAGACGTAATTCTTTGCATTGGCTAGAATTTTAAGACTAACATTATTCTATATATTTACTAGGCACCTAAGTAGTTATATATCTGTATTAACAATTCTATTTATATTACACCGACATAAGATTTTCAAAGTACATAAAGTATAATAAAACTCTGAGAATTCCACAAGTGTAGCCGGTTATATATAATACGAAGACGTTTGCGGGCGAGTGGGAAGACGTTCCCGCATCCTAGGCTTTTCTCGTCAAGCAAGAATACTGCGGTGGTTTTAGCAGGTAAAAATCCTATTGTATCCGCTCCAGTCCTAAGACTAGCGCTTATTTTTCTGAATATTTTTAACACCCCGTTTAAATAAACGGTGTAATAAATTCATAAAAAGTTCTTTTGTAATACATAAGAGTCATTGAAAAAAAACATTTGATTTCGATGTCGTTGTTACTTTTCATTTGTTGTTACATTCAGTTCATATATTTTCGTTATTTTCAATAGTGTAAGTAAATTGAACTTTCAACTTAGCTGTAACATTTTGTTAAACTACATATAATTTTGCAAATAACCCCCACTACTACGAAATAATCATTTAGTCTCTTAAAAAGCTATTAGACGATATATACAAAACCGTATAAACATTATGTCATTTTAATTTATTTTTTTTAGATTCCATCAGCGCTTAATACCTTGATAAAAAAATCGACTTTGAAGATTTCTTAGGTGTGTGATGATAGTTGATAAAAACAATTGTAATAAGAAGTTCAATGGGTCGTCCATAATGATATTAAAAAAAATACATAATTATAAACACATACTAATATTATAAACATATAAGTGTATTTGTCTATCAGTCGTAATGAATTTTACATATAATAGATGGATTCTACGTGAACGGATATATATTCTTTAATATATCATTTACCTAAAAAAGTAATTTGGAAGGGATGAAAGTTTATGCAAAAATGGTCGTGACTCTCAGCGGTTAGTCTAGTATATTTATAAAACTCTATGATCTATATGATTGTATGATGGAGACAAATAAATTTAAGTAGGTATGTACATGTATGTTGTTTGCTGTCGACAGTGTGAACTGCGAAGTAAACAAACAATACTAGAACTGGCTGAAGAGTTCTATTTAACTTCTACAGTCGAACTATCTACATTGTTTGAGCAATTTTATTGAACTGAAGTGCTTTGAAGTTTTAAAGTTATACAAAACTAGTGTAATATATGAAATTTATTATGATTTAAATTTCGTTTTTATATTATAATGCAAAGAATAAAAAAAAATACAATATAGAATATGACCGCGAGACATCGCCAGCTTTTTCATTATCTTAAAGATAATCTACTACCTACTAATATGTTTGTCTTCTGACACAATCAATCTCTATTTCATTTTCAATTATATTCACTCATAGTATCATAGCGCAAATTCAACAATATTATCATGTTTTCTCAAACAGAACTTACCTATATTTTACAACAGTGGTAATTTTATATTATTGAAATAACAAACACCGTTATATTAACATTAAGTAGTTAGTATTATTAGTATTAGTAACGTAACATTGAGTATTAAAAATAGACAACTAACAAAAAACTAAACAAATAAAAGGTGCATATTTTGACTAAATTAGAAATGTTCTACTAAATAAACTAAAGTTTCGTTAGTTTGGAACCGTTGTGCATTCTGCAACAATTAATTTTCTTCGTTTCAAAAATAGAAATTACGAGTAGTCGTTAAATTAATGAATAACGTAGGTGTTTAGTTTTTTTTGTCTAGCAGTAGACACATTAGGTCTATTTGTTTTACTAACTAAACAAAATTAGTTACATTAATTTAAAACCGTTGTGCATGCATCTACAATATTCAATTCCCTTTTATCCGTATTAAAGATAGTAACTATGAATAAATTTATACTTTAATAAATAAAGTTGGTGTTTGGTTTCTTTATATTAACAGTAGACTATTATCACATTTGGTTTATTGCAACTCACCTACGATATTGAGATACACTGCGTGTCCAATGGGAGGCGTGGTAGAGATCTGGCACTCATATTGCCCGGAGTCTCGCCGCTGTGGACTGCGTATCCTCAGCGCCCATTCCTCCGAGCGAGGCTTGTGCTGCGCCTCAAAACGCTGATCCGAGGTGTATGTGTATCGACCGACGGTCAGTAAGTGGATGTCACGATGTCTCACCCATGACACCTGTATTATGATGTAAGTTAATTAACAAATATACATAAACTTTTGAAGATTTTGTTGTAGATTCATACCAAGCAACGACTATGACTCACTACTGATTTTCGTAAAGTGTACAAATATTTGTTTTAGCTTAGCATATAATTGTAGTTATTCAATTGTAAAAATTTGATGAAACCCGTCAGCCATTTTTAGAAAGACGAAGCATACAGAAAGAAATAAAAATTGAAAATTTAAATTAGCTTAGGTGATCTACCGATTTATAATGCCTTAGTTTCTATGGGTATGGGTTCGATTCCTCGCACAATATGTATAAGTATGATTGTATCTGTCTAGGTATTTATATACATATGTTTATGTATCTATATTTACAAAAAAAATATCTGTGTATTTTAACAGTTATCTAACAGAAGCTCAGGGTAGCTTGAAACTAGACGCTGCGTGACTGTGTGAATTGTCCTGAGATATTATTGTAATATTATATAAAGTAATCAATTAGTATTAGAAACTTAGGTTAAATTATTAATCTTACTTCTTACACATAGTCGTAAAAGATACCGAAAGACGAAAGTCAATGACAATATTGATAAAACTAAATAAGTTTTCCAAAGAAACAAAATTGAAAATTGAAAATTATACGTTTTAAAACCTTTATAGAAACTGCGGAGTCACGTAATCAATTTAGTATGGAAAGTACAACATTTATTTTCAAACTTCTATTTTGTTCAGAAAAAAGTGTAAAAGAGGAGTTCCAAGAATATTCTACCTGACTTTCGGCTTTGTATACCGAATTATATACTTGAATACCCATTGTAATCGTGTATAATATTATTTACTTAATATTTTTATAAAATTATAAGACTGTTATATCGCAATTATAGTAAAATATTTAGAACAATCGAGAAGGTACTGCTGACCGACCATCAGACCACATGACAAGAACAGTACTTAACATGAGTACATTGAGTACCCAGCCCACAAGACGCGGCAGATCCCGTTTCATATGGATGTCTGTTATTAATAGAGATTTAAAAACCTCTGAAATAATACGCCAGACGACCCAGGATACACCGAATTGAACAGACAGACTAGTCGCCTTTAAATAAATGGGACTAAGGCCAGGAAAAAGAAGACAACAGTCTTATAAGATTATACCCAGTAAAGTTATTACGTAAAATATAGATACGTAATTAATAAAATGAATACTATTTAATTAATTTCCGGTTCCATATGTTTGTTCCCCCTCATTCTTGCGGCGGGCGTAGGTATAAATTAATTTTCTGCGGCAGATAATACCGACTTACAACACCTGTTTCGAAATTAAATATCCTGTGTCAACGCGTAGGAAGTTAATCTGATTATATATATACAAGGGGGGAATTCCAATGATTTGGAATACATTTTTTAAAATAACGTAAGCCGAAAACCTAAAAACGTATTGTATTACATACAGTTTGCTATTGGAATTCTTATATCATATTTATAATGTCCAAAAATCTTAGTACGGCTAAAATGTTGGCTGTCTTTCTTAACTTTTCTGAAATTACTAGCGACCCGCACGGACGGAGCTTCGAATGAAATTATTTTAAGGATTTCTATTTTTTATTATAAAATACAATTCTTCTATTAACATTAGTTTCGACCAGTGGTTTTTCATTGGCAACATATAATAATATTCTGTTACAAAAGAATTCAACAATACTTTTGTTTGTGAACGTCTGCAGAACATAAGGATGTTATATTCGATACTTTAAGTCACAAGCCGTAGTAATGATACCTTGTTAAAAATGAGTCAGCCAATCAAGAAGATAATTATATTGAGATAATACCTACAGTTCTGTTTTGTAGATTCTTGACTTTGCAGAGTAAGGTAACTGGATGACCCACAAGTCCGGTCACGTTGTCGGGAGTACTGGGGTCGAAATACGGGGCGCCGGGCGCTTGGGGCCAGTCTTCTAGGAATTCCGCTCGGAACCGTCTTGACGATTCTGACACGGTACTCTGGTCTCTCGGCCGACTGCTTCCACTGTCCAGTCGGCAAACTGTCGATGTGTAATAATAATTATATCCTTAATAACGATTATTTTGTAACGGGCTAGGGTTCAAACTTATTTAAATATTATATATCCAAAGAACTTATTTTATAGCAGTTTGTAAGCATCAACTAAAATTTGGTTACATGCATTTTACAGTAATATATCAGGATTTGTAGTCATTGTATATCAATTTTATTAGGAATAACATTTACGAATTCTATTGCGAGTTATAATTTTATATTTTGTTTGAACTCGAGCAACTTCCGGAAAACTTTTGATCAACAAAACAAAATGGCCCAGTTTAATCAGGAACAACTGGTAAACAAAATTAACTCGAATTCGCTTTGTTATACAAACGTAATCGTAAATCACAAGCAATTGTGAATATAAATATATTAGTATCTATACTATAACGATGACTTGATTAATTTTGTGTAAGATGGTATTTGGTTGTAATAGAATAGACTCTCAGTTAGTATGTTTAGTGTGCAGTTTTAATTATCAATATAATTATAAAATGAATTTTAACCAATACCATAGTATGGGTCTAAAAAGGCGTATTAATTATTTTTATATGGAAGCTAGTAATTAAAAAAAAAAAGGATTGCAATATACGAAAAACAGCAAATATTATGTTTAATTGTGAATTATATACATTTTTTATTTATAATTATTTCTACCACATAGAAATGATTACAATATTGGAATTATGTGTATCCTTTGTTATGAATAAAAGGATAGTCCCTTAGTCAATAAAACCAAATTGGATTATTTTTAGAATAGATGTGTTTGCTTGTTTATTTATTATGTCATGATATACGTATTATTCTTGTTAACGTTATATAAGAATTGAATAGTATGAACAAACTATGTGGTTCGGTTCGACCAGTCGATTGTATTGTATTGAATACTATATTGTGATTGGATTCATAACGATCGTTATTAATTGCATTATTATTGTAGTACTATGTAATGTACACACCTTTAGATCAAGAAATATACAGATTACATATATAAAAACTGAAAATATATATTTGAATATCATAGGAACAGGCACCAAATGGTTCCCTGAGGATAAAGCAGTTATCCCATTATAAACTCGCTTTGTGTATAATTTTAATTGTATTTAAACGAGAGAATAGTTAATCGCCTGTCACTGGCGCAATAGGACAACAGTCTAAGATTAATCGTTGCTTCCGATAAGATTAAAAATTAATCATGTAATCACCCAAAAGACCTGAGGAAAGAAATGGACTGGAAAATGAAATGCCCTCTAAGGAGACATAAATCTTGATTGTCAGCCGAAGCTTGATTAAGCGTTAAATTTTAAATTATGATGCTGAGGGCTCTGTCCTTTCGATGGTATTTTACGGGTGCATTTATTATGATAATACTGACATGTCTGCTGTGTAATACGAGGATCTATAAGACGTGGCAATGGGAAGATAAAATTACTATTATTATACTAAGTGTACGTAGAGGTTTTTGTACTTACTTATGTGAATAGTGTAGTGTGTGAATACTATTACTTACATAGGGTATAAGTAATTTTAACTACTATTGTCTGCAATGAGACCTAGTGCAATATTTTGAGTATGTTATACTCCCTAAAATATATGGACGGAAGAATGTTTTAACTAGCTTACCAAAATAATAATCATAATTATGGTTCTCTCATCGATGTAATTTATGTAAATGTTGTTAATAATATATAATATTTAATGGCATTTTATACTCATTAGAGTGAATTCAATGAAGGTTTTTTTTAAACATAAATTTTAAAAATAATTAACATAAGCAAGACATCTTTTAAGCAGTTTATAGTAAGACAGAGTCGAAACAACGCTTTGTGCCAAATGAAACTATGTTATAACAACAAAGTAATATTTTTTTTTAAGTCCGTTGTGCTAATTATCTGTGCTGGTTAAGTTACCTACTCACAAACATACACAGAGATGTGACGTAATAGCAGTAACTTCATGTTAATTCTACGATAGTTTTTTACTTATGTAGATAATAATAATATATATACTTAATAGTTTTTTGTATTCAACAATTATTTCATAACCATTAGGTTATCTTAGAATATACTAAAATAAAAGAAAACTGAATTCACATTTAGACTGTTCTATAAATATTATTGAAAAGGAAGAATAGTAATAATAGAAGACAAAGCTTAGAAAAACGATTTATTCGTATCTGGTAGACCATTTTATGGTAACTGCCGACGACGAAAATCGACATTTACAACTTTCCAACCTTCCACATTGCTTCAACTGTTTCAGACAGTTCCAAATGAAGTTCCAATGGATGTAGACAACCCTGAGGACTGTTACTGTGTTTATGTAAAGGCAATTTTGTGTTACTTCTAAAGGATTAACATGAAAATGTATCGTTAAGGTTTAGCTAATGTAAAACTGCTAAATGTAATACTACGCCATTTCAGTTGTATAAAACATTTAAGCGGAGACGAAAAAATTCAAAAAGTCAATTCGTTTTCTTTAAACTATTTTATGTTATTATTAACTATTAAACAGGTATTACCAAAATGGTAATAGCATTTTAAGTTAGTATGCCTTATTATACAATGGTATGGTTGCTTGCAATAAAGTATTATTATTATTCAAATCTAAAAAAGAATCTAACTTTTATTATTCCAATCTTCTTTCAAACCGATACGTTTGGTATCGGCTTTATGTTAAAATTAATTATATGTGTTTTATTATAGTATCATCATCATCATTTCAGCCCCGAAGACCTCAACTGCTGAACAAAGGCTTCCCCCTAAAATCATCACGACGATCAGTTTTATGGTGCTCGCATTCAACGTCTTGCAGCATTGTTTACCAGAACTTCTATCCACCATGGAGGCCTTCCTATGCTGCGTCTTCCAGTCCGCCATCGCTACTCTAGGACTTTATTGCCCCAATGGTCATTTGTCCTACGAATTGAGCTGTGGCCTGCGCATTGCCACATATATTATAACATAGCATTCGGATTTTTGAAGAGATGCCAAATTAGAAATGGTATGGATGTTTACTGGTAATTTGGCATCTCTTTATGTACATAAGATCTGACTATTTTGTAGACAAGAAAATATTGTCGGAAATAAAATGGATTCTTAGTCTTCGCATGGGATTTGCAAAATAAATTTGAAGAAATAACCTTAATTTATTAATGATAACCCCACGATTAAGTATCAGGGGAATAACTACAAAAATTATTTCAATAAACTTGAAAATTATATGCCTATTTGAATTTACAAGGTAAAAGGAAACCATTAATCCTAAAAGCCATAATGTTCATAAAACTGACGAACTCTCCCTAAGGAATATTGCGGGGCTTAATATTCTCTATACGAGTATAAATCACATGCGGTCACAATTCAAAGATTGTTTTCATATTTCAAACTACGCATATTCGTCAGTTCTCTAAGGAATATGGTAATATTCCTTACCATTAGGTATATTCAGAACCATTCCTTGATACATAATTATGAGCTTTATTTACCCGAGCGCCATGCATAGCTTCTAAAGCAGGAATATCTATTTGAACACATGTTTGTTCAAACAAAATTCTACCTAGTAGACATTCTTCGTTGATGTGTGTGCTTGCACCATGCTTTGGTATAGCTTCTAAAATCGACTCAAAATGAGAAATGCGAGCTTTGAACAAATTATTCGCATTTTATAAACGGGATATTTAATGTCCCACCTTAACTTACCTATATTTTATCAGAGCTCCCGATATTTCGATGCTGTTACAAACATTCTAATTAACTGGGACATGAGTGTCGAGAACATATTCAAATTTAAATACCGGTTTCAAAATATATAATCCAACTAACTATAGCAGCAGTGTATACGTCTTATTTAAATTTTTCATATAATATATATATTATATAAATACTGCTGAATAATGTGATAACATGTATTAGAAGCTTAATTACATTTTTCATCTACGTGACAGGGTTCTGATTGTTTCGAGTATGGGTAACCAGGTACAGAGTTCGAAACTAATGTTACTAATGAAAAGATATATTTATTTATTAAGGAATATACTATTTTATATATTACATAGTTATATGTCAATATGCCAGGTGGTAAATGAATAATAATAAGTTGGTTAAAATCGAAGAGAATTTTCGACAATTACATAACTCTATTATTTTATCTAATTACTGTGTGAGTAATGTAAAATTATAATATCCTGATGCGTGTACAATCATCCTTGAACCGTGAAAGGTCCGATTATCTCACCTAATCCACTGGTTCAAACGTATGAAATCAGAATGTATATCATGTTTACGGCAAAGCCTACTCGGGTTTATGGTTGAATAAATGAGATTAACATGTATGAGTATTACTAAATCATGAATTATAATCTAATTTAACTAAAAACGTAATTTTTGTAAAAAGAACTTAACAAAAAAAAATTTTTAATTGCAGATTGATTGATTCTATTAAATTTCTGAATTTTATATGATACCATGATTTTTTATATCTAGAAAGATGTACTTGTTTTTAATGTCTTGCGTGACGACTTTTGAAATACATCTTTCTATTTTAAAAAAGTAATAATTACATATATATAATGTAATATATATATATATATATATATATATATTTATTTATTACATTATTTATTACAACCTATAACAGAATATACACATATAGATCAGCACCACCCCCTCTCTTCCCGTGGGTGTCGTAAAAGGCGACTAAGGGATTCATCGACCAGTGGACGGGCAGCAGCGTCCTACTGAGTACCTACCATCATACTGCGATCGCCAACCCGCATATATAGCGTGGCGATTATGGCAATATCCCCCCAAATGAATTTACACCCAAGGCTTTACCGGCCCCCAGTCCCCGGCGGCCCCGCTACTTGACCATGGTAGCGGTCATGGAAACGGCGGGGCAGGGGGTGCGAAGAATCTCCGGGTAAGACCAGGCTACCACATACGACCACTGGCCCTGGCAACATACAACGTTCAAACACTGCGGACCGACGAAAAGTTAACTGCACTGGAGGAAGAGTTGAGCAGATTGCACTGGCATGTCGTGGGATTATCTGAAGTCCGAAGAAAGGGGGAGGACTCGATAGTCCTGAAATCGGGCAATCTGCTTTACTTCCGGGAGGGCGATCAACTGTCCCAAGGCGGTGTCGGGTTTCTCGTCCACAAGTCCCTTGTGAATAATGTTATCAAGGTCGAGAGCGTGTCGACTAGGGTAGCGTACCTGATACTAAGAATTACCAAACGGTATTCATTGAAGGTCATCCAAGTGTACGCTCCAACTTTCCGACGATGAGGTTGAGGCTATGTATGAGGATATCTCCAGAGCCATACATAGTACAAAGACTCATTATAACGTTATCATGGGGGACTTTAACGCAAAATTGGGCAAACGAAGCGGTGATGAGCTGAGAGTGGGGCAATTTGGTATCGGTGATCGGAACTTCCGAGGTCAAATGCTGGCCGACTTCATGGAGAAGGAGAACCTCTTTATGATGAACTCCTTCTTCAGGAAGCCGGAACACCGGAAATGGACGTGTATTAGTCCCGATGGTGCCACAAAAAACGAGATAGATTTCATCTTGTCAACGAGAAGACAGATTTTCAATGATGTCTCTGTGATCAATGCCGTCAAAATTGGAAGTGATCACCGGATTGTAAGAGGCACATTGAATCTGAATCTGAAAATCGAACGATCCCGACTGATGAAATCTACGCTCCACCCTACACCTATACAGATCCAAAACCCCGAAAGCTTTCAGCTAGAATTGCAAAACCGTTTCGAAAGCCTTGGTGACTGCGTTGACGTGGACGATTACAACAACAGGTTCGTGGAAACTGTCCGTGCGGCTGGGTAAAGCACTTCAAATTATATATATATCTATCTATATATGAAAGGCGATGGTCCTGCAGTCTCCGACTGACGCTTCTCAGTATCGGCAACTTAGCAGGCAGATCTCTAAGTCCTTGACTCGTGAGAGAAACAAGGGCTCAAAAGTCTTTAACAGGGATCTGGCTGCCGGACAGAGCCAGCTGACGCGACTTAAGACTGATGACGGCAGGATCGTTTCGTCTAAACCCGAACTTTTGAGGGAAATTGAGAAGTTCTATGGACAGTTATACACGACAACACGGGCACCTGTTAACAACACGGCGAAAGACCCTAGAGCCAAATTAACCCGACACTATACCGAAGATATCCCGGACGTCAGCCTGTACGAGATTGGTATGGCTCTTAAATAACTTAAAAACAACAAGGCGCCGGGCGATGATGGAGTTACTGCTGAGCTTCTGAGGGCTTAGACCTGTTCTACGAATCCTCCAGAAGCTATTCAACTATCATAGGGCAAAACGTCAAGCATGGCAAAGGGGTGTGGTGGTTCTGTTCTTCAAGAAGGGAGACAAATCATTTGAAGAATTTCAGACCCGTAACACTATTGTTTTTAAGTTGTTTTCGAGAGTCATCACGAATCGTCTCGCGCGCAGGTTTGACGATTAGCCTCCGAACAAGCCGGGTTCCGAAAAGGCTAGTACCATAGACCACATTCATACGCTGCGGCAGGTAATTCAGAAGACCGAAGAATACAACCTGTCACTTTGCTTGGCGTTTGTGGACTATGAAAAAGCCTTTGATTCGATCGAGACGTGAGCTGTGCTACAGTCTCTCCAGCGGTAAATTGACTATCGATATATCGAAGCGTTGAAATGTTTGTATGAAAACGCCACTATGTCAGTTCGCCTCCACGACCAGAATTCGAAGCCTATCCAACTGCAGCGAGGTGTCAGACAAGGCGATGTCATATCGCCAAAGCTGTTTACCGCTGCGTTGGAAGATGTCTTCAAGCTTCTGGACTGGAGCGGGCTGGGCATCAACATTAACGGCGAGTACATCAATCACCTTCGATTTGCCGACGATATCGTGGTCATGGCTGAGACCCTGGAAGACCATAGCAAAATGCTCGAAGACCTCAGTAGAGTCTCACAAGGAGTAGGTCTTAAAATGAACATGGACAAGACGAAAATTATGTCAAACGTCCATGTCGTACCTGCTCCCGTAAAAATCGGTGATTCTACACTCGAAATTGTCGATCACTACGTATACTTAGGGCAAACTATCCAGCTAGGTAGATCCAATTTCGAGAAAGAGGTCAATCGTCGAATCCAACTCGGATGGGCAGCGTTCGGGAAGCTCCGATATATCTTTTCGTCCAAATTTCCGCAGTGTCTCAAGACGAAGGTTTACGACCAATGTGTGTTGCCAGTGATGACTTACGGAACAGAGACGTGGTCGCTAACTATGGGCCCCATCAACAAGCTCAGAGTCACTCAGAGGGCAATGGAGAGGGCTATGCTCGGAGTTTCTCTGCGTGATCGAATCAGAAATGAGGAGATCCGCAGAAGAACCAGAGTGACCGACATAGCCCGAAGAATTGCGACTTTGAAGTGGCAATGGGCAGGCCACATTGATCGTAGGACAGATGGCCGTTGAAGCAGTAAAGTCCTCGAGTGGCGACCACGGACCGGAAGACGCAGCGTGGGAAGGCCTCCAGCAAGGTGGACCGACGATCTGGTCAAGATCGCGGGAAGGCATTGGATGCGAGCAGCGCAGGACCGATCGTCGTGGAGATCTTTGGGGGAGGCCTATGTCCAGCAGTGGACGTCTTCCGGGCTGCGATGATGATGATGATGACATATAGATTTCTTTGAAAAAACTAATATATGGTGGATATATCGCAAAATTAAATAATATTATTAATGGGAATGTCGAAAGTTCAACAGGATCAGTCTTACATTTCACGAAAACATTATAATTATTTTTTAATTATAAATTATATATATATAGAAGTCATTTGTTAAAGTTTACTTAATATATTTTTATACGTATATTTTACTAACTTTCTATTTGGTTTTGACATTTATTTCTGAATAAGTAAATGTAATAATAACACGTATTCTACCAAGAGAGCAAGACAAATATTATATACGTACTATACTTATATAATGTGCTGTTGAAATAACACTTTCTTCCCTTAGACAAACTACTAGAACCCCTATAATTTTGTTACGTACGTGCGGACGTCGAGTACCTTTGTAACTAGGTTGTTTACAACCCTACTGTAGATGTAACATTGTAACTTAATAATCTCGTTGACAGGTAAAAATCATTAACGTTATTGCAATATAAAAAAAGGTAGATTGTCTGACAACACCGAAACGAAACAAAAGGTTCGTATTTATAAAAGAGAAAACAGAGTCACTGATCTTGTCCTGCTAAGAGCATATTTATTAATATTATAAGCTAGTGCCCTATTCTAGCTTTACCCGTATAGGTTAAGCTAGATATATTTGTGAGATATATATATTTAATTCAAATAATAATAATAGAAAGTAATCGATTATATAGTGTACTAGATGACCCGCGGAACATCTTCTGGGTTACATTCTCTATGTTTATGCAATATTTCTCATCGCTGCTCCTCTTTTATTAGATATGGTCTGTAAACTTCCTGGATAAAATTTTTACTAAAAGATTTTTTTAACAAAGCAGTAATTTCTGAGATGCGTTCAAATAAACAATTTCTTCAGCTTTATATTTCGTATTATATTATCTGTGGTATAGCTATTACTCTGCAATAAAACAGCTTTCAATCATTGAAAGAGTTTTGCAAATCAAAGCATTGGTTCCAGAATATTCTTTTCTCATATCTAATAAATTCACTTCCTCTTTCAATATTAGTACAGATAACTTAACTTCGGCAAGTATTTGTTACTTTTTGGCGTCGTGGCAGTTATATGTTTATGGTAATATTACAATATTTGTATTAAATCACTTTTATTATAAACATACATTTGACATATAGTTTTTCAGTTTACAAAATGAACTATAAGTTTATCTACATAAAGTTTACATTTGTGTACACTGTGTACAATACTCACCAATAATGCAGGACAGAAAATGAACTGTAAAGAGGTATACTGCGCCCGACGTCCGCCCCATTGCTCAAACCCCAGAGGGGATGACGTCGTTCCTGAAACAAAGCCTATGTTAATAACCTCTCAAAGAAACCCTTTCCAGCCTTGAGGCGACTGGAAAATAAAAGAAACTAATCAGTAGCGAAGCATTCAGTAGTCTGAAAAAAGAATTGGGTGACGACTTCGTATATTTTAAAGTTCAAATGAAAAATTGCAGACTTAGCGTGTTTTTAAAAATTATTTCACCAACATATTCTTTTATTATATTAGATATTCATAATATGTACTTCGCCTCGTGCAATAAGTAAAAATACATTTTTGGTTTGAAATATACTCATTGAATTATTGTGAGATTGCAATGCTTAGGTATAAAACTTTGTTATGTGAGTTATAATAATATTATTATATCTAATTATGTGAGTAACGTATTCTATTTAAATATATTTAAAAATTAGTAACCTATTTATAGAATGAGGCTATATAATATTACACTACGACTACAGATAACATAATATAGCTACGACCAACAGGAGCTACGCTGCAATGAATGAAATTGTGCGGATCAGTTAGTCTATTATATTTCAATGATTTTTACAAATGTCACTATGTATGTACTGTTAGTGGAATCTAAATAAATAAAGATTATAGTAATAAAAATTCTATTTACTTAACAACAACAAAATATCTAACTGTATTAAAAAGTTAGTTCGTATTGATATATACTAGTAGCGATAAAACGAAGTTAGTTACTATTTGATAATAGTTTCTAAATTGAAACCCAATAAAGTAAACTGTATTCTATAAATATGAATAGTAGAAATGAAAATGAATACCTGCTGAGTTACTTCTAAAAGTTTAACAGAGCCTCTGTTCAAACTTTAACACAATCGAGGGAGTATTTTGAAAGCGCTTTGTTCAAAACAAAGATACCGATCAATATCGTTTCAGCGTTAGGTACTTGTTGTCATTGCTGTAATTTGTTCTTGTTTACTTATAAAACAATTCCAATGTAGATTGAGAGCGTAATGGTATCGTCTACTGCACAGTTGTGAATCCCCAGTGATCATGAGTTCGAATCTGGCATTACGAGTCTATGCCTACACAAAAAAAAATGTGTCTATTTGTATTAATTACAACTAACTTCCCTGTGATGTAATGTAGTTTTTTGCTAAGACTTTGTATAAAATCGTCTGCGTGGGTTGAGATATTAGCCACCAAGCAGCTAGTTTTGTGGATTGTTTCGTTGATTGGTAAGTTACAGCAGTGAAATTACAGTGCATAGTATGTTAGTCGTCAATAATGACAACATATAAAGGATTACAGTTGCATAAGAAAGAAACACCACAATCGACAGGTGTTCTCTACTACTAGTTTACAAGCTTTGTTTAGTTTGCACTAGGATAGCGCTGTGAATTATTATTTACTAATATCCAAATAACATTTCTGACAAATTATTAGAAGCGAAATAACAGATATTTGAAAGCAGTACATAAATTGGGTTTTATATTTCCGTCGTCCATTAAACAATGCCATTACGATTGTAGCGGGGGAAATGAAACAATTTGTCGCTGACATACCTCGTGTAAACAAGATGGATTGTGGAAGTCATTCATCATACTTGCGGTCCATTCGACCCCAACTATCTTCTCAGAACCTCGATTTATCAATTATCCGCTTATATGACTTTTCCCTTGTACTGTGTCTAATGTTCATATACTATTATTGGTTTGTTCTTTGATAAATTAAGATTTGTACTGATACTTGTATTAAAAGTAACATTAGTTATAGATGGATATTCTAATTATTTGCTCCGGCTTCATATGGGGGCGATTATTCTTGATATCATTATTGCTTTTAAAAATAAAATGTAACCATTTTACTCGCTTATGAGGTAACTTTCTACACTCGAAAGGTTTTGAAAATTCGATAATCCGTTTTAGTTTGTCACAAAAATATATTTACTTTTTTTATTTACTAGTAGCTCAGCACGGTTTCACCCGGGCGTTCATAATATATGTTTATTTTTTATTTATTACCATAATGTATAGCATATGCTACGCTGAAGTATAAAATGTAACAGTAAAACCATTTTTCAAATTGGTACAGTAGTTCTGAACTCCGGAACTACTGAACTTAACGTCACAACAAAATGCCCTCTCTCCCAGTCTATAATATATAAATTGGTTTAGATTTTATCAAAATATAATCTCCAAAGGCTTGCCGTGCCGTGTTGTTTTGTTACGATACGCTTATAATTTTCTTATGAATAAGTAATAATATGAGTATGTAGTTAATGTTTATGTTATAAATGATTAAATTATTCAATAAAACTATGTACATATGCGAGTTTCACTATTGTGTGTTTACAGTTATTTCAGAATTTAAAAAGTATGAAGCCATTATTCATGTTCTTTTTCGAACAGCTAACTATATATAGATTCGATATTAGTAATTACTTTGATTAGATGTTCAGGCGTTAGAATCTTAACTTAGTACCACCTTATGGTACCACAGTAGTACCTTAGTACCACATGGTGGTACCTTATTTAGTACCACCATATAAATTTGCATTATTTATTTAATGCACAATTAAATATAAATAATAATAAATTATGTAACAACAACAAATTAAAAAACAACAAGGACATATTTCATTTAAATTAAAAATAAAATATTTTTAATTCCGTTTAATTAAATAGTTTAATTACAATTTCGTATTGATACCGATAATTTGCAAGGAAATTCACGAGACAGTGAAGAAAAACAATATATATGGTTCTATAAACGCAATAAGTAACCGGTATTAGAGATTCTATGAAATATGCTATAATATTAAAGTACAAATATCCTGCCAAAACCAAGCCACGACTGTCCTCAGTGATAAACTAGTTGATGTCAGACTATTTCAAGATACGATAAAGGGATTTTCCTTAGTTTAGAACAATTAAGTAAATGCTGTTATTAACTAGGATAATAGTATTTAAATGCGTAGAATGAAGAGAAGAAAGTTTTAAAGAAAGTGTATATACGAAAGTAGATGGTTAGGATAGGGGTAAAATGGTAGTAATTTTTTGTGTATTAAAGTATAAAACTAGCAGTTACACTACGTTGCCATTAAACACTGCCATGAATAATACAAAACAGATCATGATAGGTACTTTTATTTTATTATATGTACTCTTGCACGATAAAAGGATAAAAAACTGAATATTCAACGGCGGAAATATCTTCATTTCTGTTTACAAATTCCAGATTTTTATGCTTACCAGTTAAAGCCGTTTGTATGATTATGAAATATAAAGGATAAAATATGTATATTGCCAGCAAAAGGTTAAATATTTTTTGTAACTTGAAAGCCGCTTATTCACTGTCCTTTTAACACGTTATACGAAATAAACGTATTGTATATCACACATAATGGAGACGTGTCACGGCTACTCAGAAATTGCGGAATGCTAACTTTTTTTTCTGTCGACTGTACCCTGAATTTCAAAGGAATACGTAGTGCTAACGTCCGGAGGCGTCTGCTTTCCCCGTAGGGCGTATTTCGCGGGTATTGTGACACTGATATCGTTACGGCCACGGTCTTATCACTTTATCATGTCATGTACGAATACAAGTGAACGTTGCGATGGGCCGCAATAATGTCTATTTCATGTTTTCGCGACTATAATGCTTCCATTTTCAAATTATGAGTCCTTTAGGAGGCGAATTATTTATAGTAAGGATAATGTGCTTTAAGAATGTAGCTTGTAGGTACGATATTATATAGCACTGAGATTTTAAGACTCTTTTAAAATAAATGTTGTACATGTACCAGTACCAGCATATGCTACTGGTCACTCAATTCTCCCAAATTTAAATTTATAAATGAGTCTATATTATTGTAAACATGTACAACATTTGTTAGAAAAGAATACGAGCTAAGTTTCTTGTCAGTTCTTCTCATCTCGAAATCATTCCGAACTGACGGTAGTTTTGACATATCATCATTAGAGTTTGTAATAGACCGACATGAATAAAGATATTTTGAATTTAAATATTGTTGTCTAAAGCACGAGTTGTAAATTTTTCCGATTTCAAACTTATAGAGCAAGAGCCCACGACGGCCAGACATACGTCATTTTAGTAAACGTGAAAGTTCTCGTATGTGTGTCCCCAACACAGGTAAGAACGATCCCCAAACATGAAACCTGGATCGTGGTTCCTTTGGCAGGTACAAGGTAACAAAAGTGTAAAAAATCTGTGAGTTCCAACTTGTACTATGTAAAGACCGAGATTTTTTAACGCTTTGACTAAATGGAATTTTCGAATATGACAGGTGCAACAGTACTTAAGTCATTCATATCAAATTCGTTATTTTAAGAAACTCCTAAGTATACACCGTTGTTACCCAATATACGGTTTCAATGAGTCTGGTAGGATAAGGAACCAAGAAAACTGTCTGGCAATTTAGGAAACTCAGTTTAATAGTTCTCTCAATAATATATATAAAGTTCAGCTTTATTAAAATGACGTAAGTTTATTTCTAAAATAGTATAGTTTAGGGGGGTCCGGCGTGGGTTGGAACCACACTAAGTGTCTGGCAATGAGCAGCGCAAGTTATGATAATGCTACAAACAATATATGAAAATATGGAGTTTCTTAAAATAACGAATTTGATATGATTTTTTTTACACCTTTGTTACACCTGCCAATAGGAACCACGATCCAGGTTTCATGTTTGGGGATCGTTCTTACCTGTGTTGGGGACACACATACAAGAACTTTCACGTTTACTAAAATGACGTATGTTTGGCAGTCGTGGGCTCTTGGGCTATTATATATTATAGATGTTTATTTTCATGGAAATTATGATGAGTAGCAGAAGGTAGAATATGTAGATTTGCTACGTTTGAAGTCTTGAAGTCACCCATAATTATCTGACAGTTTCTAAAAGAGATTCAAGTTGAGAGAAATAGTTGACAGTTTTTACTACGACCTTTTAAAGTCTACCTTACAGCTTACAGGTAGATGGATAACCTATTTATGCCATTTCTAGTATATTAAAAACTAT